CAAGAACATTTAAACCATGGATGAATAAAAGTGGTGGAAGTTGCACCAATGTTTATTTACACTTATTTAAATGAAACCAGTTTGTTTTAAAGATCATACCAGCTTTGTTTTCTTACATTCCTGACATTTTATTTCTGCTGCAGAAACTCTTAACTGCATCCATATTATTTTCCCTCTGAGTGAATTAGGATCACATATTAGAGCCTTTGGGGGAGACAGACACTTAAGTCAATTTGAGTTTGACATCCAGACAGATTTCCCTCCTTTCTGGCGACGGATTAGGGTGTAAACCAACCCCAGGAGCCATATGTGCGATGTACGGACAGCTACTGTGATAACATTTATCTTTAGAATTAACACTCTTTCATTTCCACTGTGTCGGCACTTTTGGCCAGGAGGGAGACGCTCGTTTTATTTTTTTTTCCTCCGCCGAAGTCAAGCTGTCAAAATTTTGCCTTTCCTTCACCCCTGACTCTGCCTCAACCCCGTCTCTTGGAATAACTCAGTTCGCTCAGAAAGAAGAAGAAGAAAAAAAGCAGGAGAGGCGTTCTGAGCCGCGGCTCGTCCCTCTGCGGCGGCGAAACGATGAGGAAGATGAAGAATCCAGATTCTGAGCTGTTCTTGTCTGTCACCGTCTCGCTCGGCTGCGGGTGTGTGGCCACCTCAAAGCATTTTTTCCGTGCCTGCCTGTCTGCAGCTCGTCGGCTCGGACCGCCGACGGTTAATCTTCCTGCGCGGCGTGAGGGTCAGACGCGAGCCGCTTTCCTGCAGACACGCTCCTGAACTCCGGCTAGCTCTGGAAAAACACTTCCAGTGGATGCCTGGTGCTCCTGCAGACCTCCGTACTTTATGTCAACAAAAACTAAACCTTTTAATAACCAGCCTTCATCGCAGGATCACCTGTAAATCACTCGCAGGCCAATTAATCATCATACAGACCAAGAAATGGATGTAATAAAACCAAAATCTGGGTTCTACAAAATCCATCCCTGCTAACTGGGATCAGATCTTGGTTGGCCTTCGCTCTGGCCTCATCTGCTGGATTTACAGTTCAGTTCAGTCCCACTTTAGCTTCTGCTGATCTTTTTCCCTGATTGGTTTGTAGCTCGACTGCTCCGATTAGCAGTTAGTTCGATTCTAGTTATCAGTTATATTGATTCTGAGTAGATGATAGCTTGACTTTTAGGAGATTTTAGCTCGACTCTGATTGGTTGACTCCAAGTAGTCAAGCTACCTTTCTCTGATGTACAGGATTTTATCTGCGGGCAGCCATATTGGATGGTGAACTTGGGGTTGTTTGATCTTTTACCTTCCCAGTCATAATTCTGGCTTCAAAGGCTGTTTTTATTTTCACAACTACCAACTTTGACATGTTAACTTCCCAGTGCAAAGAAAACACATCAAAAGTAGCGGTTAGCTTGGCTCTGAGTAGCTATTAGTTGTTGATTACCAGGCAGCACCAGTCTAATTAGCATTTAGCTTAGCTCTGATTGGCAGTTATTTTGACTTTGAGTAGCTTTAACTTGATTGTAAATAGCTGCTAGCTTGATTTTGAGTAGCTGTTGACTCTGATTGGTTGTTAGCTTGATTCCAAGTATCCAAGCTAATCTGTCTGTGGTTAGACGTTGAGCTAACACGTCAACCTTTTAAAAAAAAGGTATGTTTTTTGCTGTCCAGTTGAATAATCTGATCTTAAAATTATAAATGTGTTCAGGCCACGTGGCGATGGACCTGAACCACATGCTGCGTCCTGCCAAGTCTCCAGAGAAATGCACCCTGCAGACGCTGGACCAGCCCGCGGACAAACTGGTGTCTCTGTTTGAGCAGAAGACGGTCAAAGGGTGGTGGCCCTGCACCTGCGAGAGCAACGGGGAGAAGATCATCGCGGTGAGAAAACAAGCAGGCCTGCGCACTGATTCCTGTGTAACAGTGTCGTAGCTTCAGAAGCTAGCTTCTTTTCGTAACGACTGACTGTTCAGCTTTTGTTTACGCTGAGCTTCTTCTGCGAATAAACAATGCAGAGTCAGATTTTAATTCCGCTGTACAATCTGTTACGTATTGAGTACAAAATAAAACATGTTACTCAGCAAACAGTAGACAATCATAAACTTAGCTGCTAATAGAAATAAATCTCCAATTTTATACTTATCATGGATGAAGGTATCTAAATCAAGGGAATACAACCATAAAACTGTTTGACTGCGTTAAGGTGATAGCTTGTAACAGCATTTAGCAGCTGCTACCTAACATCTTCTGCAAAGATGCTAATGGTTGGTAGCATTTATTCTAATGGTGGTTAGCATCTAGGCTAGCAAAATTACTCTAAATTCTTACTGGTGAATGTGAGTTAGTGCCACAAAAATAAATAACCAAAACATTAATAATAAAATAAAAATTGTAGGGATATCTCTTTTAATAGTTAGATACTGCCACATTTAGGAGTCTGAAAATGAACGTTGGTGTTTCAGGGGAAGGTGGAGATGTCTCTGGAGATAGTGACAGAGCAAGAACAGGAGGAGAGACCGGCCGGGCTCGGCAGGGACGAGCCCAACATGAACCCACACCTGGAGGAGCCTCAGTGAGTCCCTCAGAGAAACCTGCAGAGGAAATGAAAATATCCCTTCCTCACCTTAGCTCCTCTGCATCACATTAACAGTAGTTAGCATTTAGGCTTAAGGCAGCTGACAGTTAAATTACTGACAGTTTTTATTTAGACTAGCAGCAGATACGATCACATTATTGACAGTTAGCAATTAGGCTAGCAGCAGATATCGGTCACATTACTGACAGTTAGCATTTGGCTAACAGCAGTTATTGGTCACATTACTGACAGTTAGCATTTAGGCTAGCAGTAGATATTGGTCACATTACTGACAGTTAGCATTTAGGCTAGCAGCAGATATTGGTCACATTACTGACAGTTAACATTTAGGCTAGCAGCAGATATCGGTCACATTACTGACAGTTAACATTTAGGCTAGCAGCAGTTAACGGTGACATTGCTGACTGTTAGCATTTAGGCTAGCAGCAGGTATCGGTCACATTACTGACAGTTTGCATTTAGGCTAGCAGTAGATATTGGTCACATTACTGACAGTTAGCATTTAGGCTAGCAGCAGATATTGGTCACATTACTGACTGTTAGCATTTAGGCTAGCAGCAGATATCGGTCACATTACTGACAGTTAGCTTTTAGGCTAGCAGCAGATGCGGTCAGTCGTACCTTGCGGCTGATGCTCCTCTTCCTCTTCGTCCTCCTAACAGGCGCCCTGAGACGTCCTTCCTGTGGTTCTCCTCCCCTTATAAGACCCTCAGGTTCATCGTGTGGCGGCGATTCAAATGGTTAATCATCCTTTTCATCATCCTCTTCCTCATCTTCCTCTTCCTCGGTGTCTTCCTCTACTCCTTCCCGGTGAGTTTCCGTCTGTTTCCTTTGGCAGGAGCAGAGAACAAGCTAAACCAGCGTCAAACAGACGTAGAAAATAAAATGTTCTTAACTTCTTTTCATCTTTTTTGTCTGTTTTTACTAGAACTATGCTGCCATGAAGATGGTTGGACCGTTTGGACCGCCCAAAGCTAATGGTCAATAAGGAGGAATGTGAGAAATGAGAACAAAAAGACAAAATTATGAAAGGAAAAAACATTTTTGAAAGTGAAAATCATGAACCAAAACTCTGTACCTGTATTGTATCTACATCACAACCCAACACAGATTTATTTTAGCTTGCGCTAACCCCCAGCTCTCTAATGAAACAATTCAGAACATCAGCATGATAAAAAAAAAAAAAACATTTTAATGCTTTAAAATGCAAAATCAAAGCAGGAAATAATCCAAAGATACTTTATATATCCAAAAGAGAAGTTAAATGTTGCAGATGGTGATGCTGTGGTCAGGAAGAAGCTCCACTAGCAGTCAGTCTTCCAACATACCTGAAGAAGCCTCTGACTGAAGACTGTTCCATGACATGCTAACAGCCGAATAAACAGGAAGCAGAGACGATTTTCCACAGTAAAATACCCTGAATGACATGGATTGTTTATTGCTAGCAATGCTAATCCACCTCATTTGCTTTGCTGCTCCGTTTTAAATAAAGTCAAGCAGAGCGATGCTGGAGTAAGGGATATGCCGACGACGTGATGCTTCTCTCTCTGCCTCCTTTTTTAACTCTTCTTAGATTTGAGGTCAAAGTTCAGGTGTTATTTGAATTTTTGAGATGCTAATCAGCTGCTTGTAGAAACAGGACCTTGTTGCTATGGTTATGCATCATAATTGTCCAAAAGTGAAAAAAAAAAAAAAAGAAAGAAGGAAGAGCAAAAGTCTAAACTGTCCAGACATGAAACGTTTCAGCCAAATAAATTTTGAACAGAAGTAAGATGTTGGTTTGTTTTGCTCCGAGTCTCTGTGAGGTCACATGATGCGTTTGGGTGTTGTGGGATTTCTTATTAGAAACAAATTAATATCTCCTTTTTTAACATTTTCCTGTATGTCTTCACTTTATTTAATTTAACGTTTTTGTTTCTGCCTCTTTTGTCTCTCATTATTAGTCGCCCTTCTACTCCAGGGGTGTTCAATGTGCGGCCCGGGGCCATTTGTAGCACTTACACTGATGTTTTTGGGGCCCCCAACTTTTTATTTTTAATCATTGTAAAGTTATTGGCATAATTTTTGCAATTGAAAATATTAATTATAATTCCAAGTATTTTTTTTACAACCAAACTTTTAGAAACTTTCACTGAAAAGTTGATTGATCTGAACATAAATCAGCTGTAATTTAATTTACTGAACTCTGCTAAGTATATAGCAAATGTTTTAGAAAAAGTGACCCAAATCCTGTTCTTATAATTGAATAAATTTGTTTGTGTCATCAAAAAATAATTTAAAAACTAAATTTTAATGTAGAAAATGTCCAAAGTCGTTGTTAATGAATGAATAACATCAGTTTTCTACACAAAAACAAAGCAATCAGGATGTTTTACTCACTTGATTTTCGTTGTTTGTATTTTATTATTATTTTATTGTGGTAAGTTTGAACATCCCTGCTCTAAAAAACACTAAAAACAGCTAAAAAACTGAGTCAGAATCTGTATGTTTACGTTATGCTGCGTCTCTGAGCTCAGCCTAAGTAACGCTAATGTAGCCTAGCATAAGCGTGTCATTATCCGACCTCTTGGCCCTCGCGGTTCAGCAGGTTAAGACTTGGATTTGTTCTTGTTGACCTCAGAGCTTCGGGTTTATTAGTTCAGAGATGAAGCGAGTCGATATGAACTCATAACACCGTGTAGCTCCCCCAGCAGCGCCGGTCCAGTAAAAACAATCAGAAATGTTTGGATAGTTTAAACAGAAAAGAATCGTTCAGTTCCTAACAAATCCTGCCCAAGCTGGATCAAAAAAGCCTTTAAATTTACCAAAAATATTCAGAATCAGAAGACTAAAAATAAGCAACCAGATCTGGGAAGGTGGCAGGATGAAACGGTTCTGTTTGTTTTAGGCGGCAGGGGGTAAAAACTTTAGACTCAGGTTTTACATCAGCTAAGTTGTGGGCACACTTCTGCTAATGCTGTTAGCGCAATGCTAACGCCACAGCTACACACTGCAAAAACTCAAAATCTTAATTCACTTAGGTTTAGTTTCTAGAGCAAGTATCTTATTACATTTTAAATAAAACAAACTAACTCAAAAGTAACTTTTCAGCAAGATATAGATTTTAGTTTTAAGTAAATAATTCCTTAATATTGATGAAAAAGTTCCAGTTCTATTGTCAGGGTATTTCATTGATAACATGGGGAAAATGTCTTGTTATAACTGAAATAATCTGCCAGTGGAACTAGAACTCGGTTGCTAGGTAACGGGCTGCCTTGGCTTTGGGTTGCTAGGTAACGGACTGGCCTTGGCTTTGGGTTGCTAGGAAACGGCACCAATGGAACTAGAACTTTCTCATCAATATTAAGTAGTTATTTACTTAAAACAAGCCTCTGTACCTTGCTGAAAAGTTATTTGTAAGTTAATTTGTCCTATTTCAAGTTTACTAATGCATTTTCACTAGGAACTAAACCAAAATTACTTGGTGATTTTGTGTTTTTGCAGTGCAGAGGTTAGTTAGCCTACCACTTTTAAAAAGTGCTTTTTTGTGACAACAGATTTAAATATTTGCAGGGAGACGCATCTATGTAGTATTTTGTGTCCTTGTTTAGAAACTCTAAGCATCCTGTTTTATTTGGACAGTCCTGCTTCTGGCTTTAACTTCTTCAGATGCTTTCAAAAATTTAAACTCAGAGCTGTTTTCTCCTGATTTTTACGGCTGTCAGTGAATGCAACGTGCCTTCTTTCACCGATGGGGAAAAAAAGTGACCTTAAGAGTTGGTTTTATTTTGAAAGGTTGTCAGATTTTGTGTTTTTGCATGAGACAAATCAGTTTGCTGTTGTTACTGTAACATATGAAATGATTGAAGGCAAACGGCCTGAATGTATTCTGACATGTTGTGTGTTTGACCTGATGCATCTGCAGTCGTGTCGTCAATATTACCAATAAAACCGATCAATCTGTTTCCATCCATGAGCCTTTGGAACTTTATCTGGGTTATTTTGGTTCTTTTGCAGAGGTAAAAACTCTGATCTCCAATCTCAGTTTAGGAAAATGTTATTTTAAGTTCCACTTTTTTATTTAAAAAAGATTTTTTTTACTTACTTTTTTCCAATATAAAACGTCTTTGAAGTTTACTTCTAAGAGGAAAAAAACGATTTAAAAAATTCCCTCCAAAAATCACATTAGAAGATTAAAGCTGTGCGACAAAGTCAAAATAATATGGGAATATTTGTTACCAGAATAAAATTGTATTGCCAGAATAAAGTTAGAAAAAAATCTGAAATTTTGTGCTTAATCTCAGAATTGCTCTAGAAAACATTCTCAAAAATTTTCAACTTTAGGAAATTTAAGCCAGAAATTTCCTGATTTTTTTTTTCTAGATAATTTCTACATGTTTTTATTTCTGCATTTTGTTGGAGCAGATTTTTGACTGAAATTTCCTATTTTATTTCTAGGAAATTACTGAGATCAATCTCAATTTTGGAGACTTTTGGCAGAAATTTACTCCATTTTCCGTAGCAGGTAAACCATATTACTTGAAAGCAGATGGATTTCTTCAGGTTTTCATCTGACTTTTGTTTTTCTGGCACAGTAACTGGTAATTTTGGTCCTACTTTGGCTAAATTACATTTCAGGATGTTCAAAGCAGCAGGTTCTGCACAGTTTAAACTCTTCCACCCGTCGTCTTTTGATCCAGTTTAGCAGTAAATTGGTCAGAGGCTGGGCGGGTCATCAGGTCAACATGGAGGCCGGTCAGGCTGAGACGCGGTTCGAAGGTAAACTCTGCATGTTGGAGATGCTGGTTGCTCGGAAGAAAGTGTTTGGCTGACTGACCTTCGTTCAAACCTGCAGCGTCGGCTGGAAACCCTTCATGAGGGATTCCTCTCTCAACCTTAATTATTACTCTCTCCTCCTTCCAGCCCACAGCCTCACCGTTTCCCCCCATCGTTGTCTTTTTCATGGTCAGTCCTCAGGGTGCCGTTAGGGTCACCCTGAACTACCGGTGAACCTCTGACCGCAGGTTGTGTTTGCAGTTTGGGTGGCCTGTTTTCACTCCACCGTCTCTTTCATTTTCCAGGACCTTCAGGCTTTTTTACTCCTTCCTGACTCCATTCGACCTTCTGTTTCACCACTTTGGTTGATTCTGCTCATTACCACAGCCATTAGCTGCTTCTCTATTAGCCATATAATTACACAAATTGAAATTATGGAAATAAATTCACTTAATGGAAACATTACAATTTTAACTCATGAAGCATGTAGTGGTTTTCCAGCCTTATTGAAATTGGCTTATTTCGTAAAACTGTCCCATGATCGCAAACCAGATGTCACTACTGTCAGAAACGACAGGAAGTGATAGGAGGACACTAAAGCGGTGCATGAATACAGTATTAAATGGAAGCTAATGCTAAAGTGCTAAATTCAACAATATGTCACTAGCTGTGTTTCCATTATAAATTTGCTCAAAATGCTGTCAATATTCCACTAATGTCGAAAAAATACAATTTGCAGTGTTTCCATTTAATATTAAACGCAATTAAAATCACAGGTGAATAAGTTTGTTCATGTAATAATTTAAACAAGAATTCAACGACCATCGTGTGACTTGTGTGATGTAAAAAAAGTGTTTCCAATGCAGATTTGAGAAATAAACCAACTTTGATATGGTCATAACCTGGTGGTAGCGCTAAAACATGATTTTTTTTCTAAATTAGCACATTTCTATTAAGCAAATGTAATTTTTGTAATTTTAATTTTTGCAATTCTATGGTCAACACAGCCAGTGTGATTCCTCACCAACCGTAGTAACCATGGCTTTCTTTATTACACCCACATATAACAGAAAAAATGTGAGATCATTCGTTATCAGCCAAGACATTGGGTTATCTGTTAGCGTGAACATCACAGTAGTCTTGGTCATTTTTCACAGGCTGCAAAATATGTCCATCCAATTGTGCTACAAAAAGAAGATTTTATAGGTAATTGTGAAACTGTTGGGTTCTTGGTATGCCGAAAATGAACCGATACCAAAATTTATGACGATGACCACCGCCATTTTGGCCACGTCAGTACTTTAGGTCGAAAAGAGGCTGTGCAAGGTACGCTACGCTCATGTCCCTTTAAGACGCCACGGCACGTCTGTAAAGTCTATAGTCACGTGACTCCGCTCCGTCCAATCTGTAGCGAAAGAGACGGCGAGGGAGAAAAAATGGAGGACATTTCAAACGTTGAGACGACGACGGCGGTAAAGTTGATCGAGGTAAGACTGTTTGGCTGTCATGGCGCTCGTCTGGTGGCTGTTACGTAATATGTGTTTTTATTTTAAAAGCAAGCGTAATTGTCGACTTTTCAAACTAACGAATTTCCATGATTTTGGGGGGGAAATGTACTCTTACGTATTTTGTTGTTTTGGTTGTTTAATTCTTTTCGATCTATAATGGCCCTCATAGATTTTTCCAGTTCATGTGCATGAAAACTTTTCTGAAATCGTCCTGTGTGTACAATATTATTTTTAAAAAACTGTGTTTGAGGATATTCGTTGTTATAAAGACCCTGGAACAACTTGATGTCTTTTCTGGTTAGAAGTTAGAAAAAAAAAGTGTGTGAAGTCATTTGTAATCAGGCATAACCAAAATGTTGGGTTCTGACAAACTGCAGGTCAAACACATTTTTCCCAGGATACACAAGATTCCCATTTGATTAATCACAAAAAATAAGAATTTAGACAGATTATTGTGAACCTGGATGTCTCTTCTGGTCCAACTTTGTTGGACCTCCTGGTCTCCTGACCCCTTTTTCATCCTGTAGCTTCATCTCTTTGCTATGCTATCAAGCAATATCATAAAGTGGAGTTTATTAAAGAAATATTTAGTTTTATAGGTGTATCTTCAGAGGAGCTTTGAACATGCTGGGGTCAGAGTTCACCTCATTCACCAGACACACAATGGAAAATGGCCGGAGGGGAACCGCGCTAACAGGTTTCCAGTTGTTTCATTATCGCCTCTGAGATGAAGCCCACAGCTTCAAACACATGTAGGCAGTAAAACCCTAGTAGCCCCATCTGTAGCTGAGAGCAGAGCTTTCACACCGTCAGGTCATGATCTCACCTTGCAAACTTTCTCACAAACATGTGTTCAGAGATATGATATCAGCTCGCAAATACTTAGAAGTGTGCAGATGTGCATTAATGACTCGCACTGACACCTCTGGGGGCATCCAGAGGGCAGATTCCTGCCTCCATGCCGAGGTTCGTAATTCAGCTTGCAACCTCATTTAATAAGATTTTTGGATCAATTGCAGTAAACAATATTTTAATGATTATTGGAAGTAACAAAAATTTACTGGCCGACACATTGTCCCAGAAGTTATTGCGATAAATGACAATATTGTTGTTTGGAGACCATTTTCATGTAATACAATGGTAACGGCATAATAATGCAGAAACAAATTCCCAGATATCAACAAACTTTAAATTCTAAGGAAAAGGTTTTACCTTTATTTTCTCCCCCATTCTATGAAAGCATCAACAAATATCAATAAATTTGAAAATATGATTAAATGCACTTATAGTGATTAAATTCTCTCCTCTATTTGAGTAGTGTCCTAAATAAGCATATTATGTGTATTGTTTTTCAAGAGCAGTATTTCTGTTGTTTAAGGGGGTATGATTTCTGTCATGCAGCCACAGCCATTCAGTCACTTGACAAAGAAATAAATACTTCTTCCTCTTGTCATGTTTAGTGTTACCATAATAGTACTACAAAATATTGTGATAAAACTTTAACTGCTCACCTTTACCCAGATGTTTTTGTCAGTAAGTTTGTGTTTTTTCGTCTTCTGACATGAGCCGTTTTAAAAACTTTCCAGAACGTTTGAGTCACCTTCAACTGGCCCTCCGCCCGTTACCTAGCAACCCCAGCAGAGCTCCGCCCGTTACCTAGCAACCCCAGCGGAACTCAAGCACTATCTCATTATTTAACAGTGATTTTTTTTGTAAATAAAATGTATTGAATATGTTTTGCATCGCCCACAGACCTGTTGTAACCTGTTAAGAGAAGCACATTTAACGCTGAAACAAGCTTGTTCAGGTTTTATAACTCTGAGGCATCAGAGTGCCTGTTTGCCAGACACTTTCTCCTTCCAGCTGACGGGAAGCCAACCTGTTCTCCAGGCTATTTCAGATAAAAGCATGGGGTTTGTTTACTTATTAGGACTCCCATTAGTTTCCACTAAATTGGTTACTGATCCTCCTGGGGTCCGATTACGAAAATATTCCTTTATACACAAGATTAGTCACA